TGGGGTAATTTTAACACCAAGGTACACTAATCCCTCTCTTGCATTGATAAATGGGGTTTGTATAACTGGGTTTAGTCTTTCATCCCTGTTCAAAAATAGAATAGAGGACTTTGAATCATTTATTTTGTAGCCAGAGAGCTGCCCAAACAACTCTATTTGTTGCATTAAATTTGGGATGCTAACGGGCAGCCTTGTCAAAAAAAACTATCAGATCATCAGCGTACAATGCCAATCTATGCTCTTGGTCTCCCAACTGAATGCCAAATAAATCAGTTCGCATTCTTATCATCATTGCCAAGGGTTCTATAGCTAAAGCAAATAGCATTGGAGATAACGGGCAACCCTGGCGAGTGGAACGTTCTAAAGTGAAAGGTTTGGAAGCTAAGTTGTTTGTCCAAACACTGGCTTTGGGAATTGTATACAACAGCTTAACCCATTTGAGGAAATTGCATCCAAATCCATATCTCGGGAGAACATTAAATAGATCTGACCATTCAATTCTGTCAAAGGCCTGACGAGTGTCAAGTGATAATACAGCTGTATCTTTAGCGTCAAATTTCTCATGAATTATGTTTAGGACTCTCCTTATATTGTGAAACCCTTGACGTTTTGGTACAAAGCCGTTTTGATCGTTATGAACTAAATGTGAGATAAAGGGGTCTAATCTTTTTGCTAAAACTTTACAGAGTATTTTAGTGTCCACCCCCATCAGACTTATTGGTCTAAACGAAGAGCACTCCTCGGGGGGTTTACCAGGTTTCAATATCAATGTGATCATTGCTTGTCTCAGAGTGGGTGGGAGAACTTCATTTCTAAATGCTTCTTCATACATGTTAAAGAGTGGGACTATAAGTTTTTCTTTGAAAGTTTTGTAGAATTCAATGGGGAAGCCGTCCGGTCCAGGAGCTTTACCACTATTGATACTCTGTATGGCCTGTGAAATTTCTTCAATCTTTCAGTTTATGTCCAACTCCTTTTCTGTCTCTTCTGTGAGTGTCTGAAACTGAAGTTGATCTAAGAATATATTTGTTCTTCCGAGGCGTGGCTACACTCTGATTTATATAGTTTAACATAGAATTGCCTAAAACTATTGTTAATTTCAGATGGATCTACTGTTACCCTGCCAGAGGAGGTCTTTATCTTGTTAACTGCTCTTTCACTTTGTATTTTCTTAATTCTCCATGCCAAGAGTTTCCCAGCTCTCTCTCCTTGGTCATAATAAGATTGCTTTAACCACATTAAACTTTTTGCTGCTGCCTATTTATTATATATTTATAATTTATTATATTCAGTTCTCAAACGTAACAATTCACTCTGCTTTATTTGATCATCATTATTATTTAAGTCTAATTCCAAAAATGTAATTTGTTTATCCAAGATTTCCATTTGTTTCTTTTGTTGCTTGTTCTTTGTACTTCAAGCCTTGCTGCTAAAATACCAAAAGTAGACAATAATGTGAACCATTCAGTTATAAGTTGTGACAACAGTATTTTTCTTAATGGAACTGACAAAGAAGAAATAATGAATGTTGTAAAAAATCTTACAGATAAGAGATCAAACTGGACAAATTTACAAGGACAAAGAAATGATCATCCAACATTAGAGGTGCTTAAATCAGGTTGGGAAAAGGAACAAATCAAAAGCTTTGGGTGGATGATAAAAGCCAAAGTTAATGAAATCCATTTAGATCAACTAGATATATGTCAGAAAGTTCCATTACCAACAACACCACCTTGGGTACTCCCTGATGCTATAGTAGATTTTTCATTATTAGAAAAGAAAAACAAGAATAAATCTTTTATTATGGATAAATATACAGTACAGGCATACATTAACCAGTATTATAATTATGTACATATATACACAGACGCATCAAAAATACAACTAATAAAATTGGGATAGCATTCATTGTACCACAATTTCATATTAAAGTAGGAAAAAGGGTTAGTGATGGAGTATCAGTTTATACAGGAGAAATGCTGCTTTACTTTTAGCAGTTCAGTGGGTAGAAGAGGTAAGACCATTAAAATCAATCATCTGCTCAGATTCTAGTTCATCATTGTCCAGTTTGCAACACAACCAGTCAGATAGTAGACCAGATATATTAATTGAAATACAACAAACACTATAGGATCAACATGATGGGGATTACAGTAAATTTTATATGGGTTCCAGCACATCACGGGGTTTTGGGGTAATGAAAAGGCAGACAGGATGGCTAAGGAGAGCACTGGTCGGGATGTGGTTGATATTAACGTTGGGTTTAGTATAACAGAAATAAAGGGTATAATAAAACAAAAAATGAAAGAAAAGTGGCAAAAATTATGGGAGGAAGAAAGGAAAGGCCGGTGGTTTTATAAAATCCAAAGGAAAATTGGAGAAAGGAGAAGAAGCGAAAGAAACAGGAGAGAAGAAACGATTATTTCACGACTGGCACACTGGACTGAACAGCACATTATGTTTAATATGGAAACATCAAACAGGGACATGTGAGTGTGGAGAAGAGGAAACCATAGAACATATTATTTTGCATTGCAGGAGATACCAGGTTCAAAGAAACAAGTTGATTAGACATCTTAGTAAAATGAAAATGAAATGAGACATTATTGATTTATTGCAGAAAGATTCAGGAAACAGAGGCTATCAAGCTATATTTTATTTTTTAAAACGGTGTAGGTTGTATGATAAGATCTAAAAGGAAAGAGAGGGTTTTTGTTTTGTCATGCGGTCCACACTCCTTACCAGTTGGTGGTGGTAATGCCTCCTGCAGTTGTTTGCCAACCGCCAATAAAAGAAGAAGAAGCTGTTTGTGTTCTGCTGTTCTTGGCTTCTGCTCATCTGAGGTCCATTGCTGCTCCTGTGGCGTTACTGGCTGCAGCTGCAGCCCTTTGCAGTGCACGGCTTCTGCCTTCTTCTGACCTGCTGCTGGTCTGCTCGTTCCCCTGGCAGACTGTGCTCTCGGTCCTCGGCACGTGATTGAGCTGTGCACTGCTGTGCTCAGGGACGCTCTGCTGTCTCGTCTTGCCCTGGGTTGACACAACTTTCAGAGTTTGGGCTGTTTCTCCACTGCAGTTGTTGCTGTTCTGTTTGCAGCCAGTCGATTGGACAGTGCACGTGTCCTCTGCCCTGCTGGGATGGGGTGTGAGACTGAACACCAACAGTTTGTTCCACCATCTGCATCATGTTTGAATTATTGTTGTATGTGGAGTAACAGAAATATCAGCCTTTACCTCATGCTCCCTTTGTCCTCAAGGATCGAGTAGCAGGCCTGCAGCCTGTGTTTTTAATCATCTGAATACATCTTTTTAGAGAAGTCAGTGTGTGTCAAGGTGTTCTTCTGAACCTGTGGTGTTTTCAAACGTTGGGTAAGGACTTCCCCCAACTGCTGCTGTTCACTTTTATTCCCAACTGTTTCAGTTCACCCTCCTGGTGGTCACATTTACTCCCAGCTTTCTACACAACCTGCACATCAAAACATCTGGCCCATCGCCTCCAACTACAGAAAGCTTCGATCAGACGCAACGTGTGGTGTAGGTTGTGCACGTTTGCTTCATGTTTTCTAACAGCGGTTCCCAGCCTTTTTACCAAACCACTTTTAATAAGATAACTTTGCTGTAGATGAGTGGCAGAAAAGAAGTTTGTTCTTCGTACATTTGATCTAATGTGAAAAACTAAATAACATGAAAAAATAACAACACCCTTCAGAGCGAAGTAAATCAAACCAGAGAGTGTTTCCTGTGAAAAGTCAGTCTGAATGATTGTAGCTGAGAGCGGCTGAAAGCTTTCATCACTAAACACTTAATGAGAGTTGAATTTGAACAGCTGAAGTTTGCTGAAAGCAGCAGAAAAACAGCTGAAATGTGTAGAAAAAGGTCCCTAAAGCAAAATAAGCTGAAATACGTTAAAGAGAGGTTGATTAGATTACAAAGAATATCTGAAATTAGCAAAAACTGGATCTGAAATTAGCAGAACAAGATGAAATTAAAAAATAAGTATATGAAAAAGCTTAAAAAAAAGGCTAAAATAGGCAGAAAGGAACAAAAGTTTAAATTATTAGAACGAAGCACAAGACAGAATTTAACAACAAAAAAAACTGGACAAAATGATAGAATTAGCAGAAAAATGCTTACAAGTTAGCTGAAAACCAAAACAAGCTGGATTTAGCAGAAAGAAAGGACCATAAAAGTTTAAACTAGTGGAAAAAGAACAAAATGCTTAAATTAGCAGAAAAAAGCTAAAGTTAGCACAAAGCTAATAAAAGAAAAGCTGAAATGAGCTGTAACCGGTTGTAAACAGCTCAAAGAGTTTGAAGGAGGTGAAGAGAGCTCTGTTCATTTTCTATTATGAGAACATGGCCGACAGCTAAACATTTCAAACAGTACAAGCACCAAGAGTCAGAGCAGGAATGTCCTGGATGAGCCGAACGTTGTGAAACAGAACAACGTGCAGAACGAGTTACGAGCTGAAAAACAGATGTTAGAGAAATGATGAGAATGATTCAGAAACAGGGTGGAGCAGCTGGTAGAGCTGCTGCCTCTCAGCAAGGAGGTCCCTGGTTCAAATCCTGGTCTCGGGGTCTTTCTGGGTGGAGTTTGCATGTTCTCTCCATGCATCCGTGGGTTTTCTCCGGGTGCTCCGGTTTCCTCCCACAGACCAAAAACATGCGTGTTAGACTGATTGGTAACTCTAAATTGTCCCGAGGTGAGAGAGTGAATGGTTGTTTGTCTCATTTGTCTCTATGTGTCCCTGTGATGGACTGGAGACCTGTCCAGGGTGTCCCCTGCCCCTCGCACAGTGATTGCTGGACATGGGCACCGGTGACCCCCGTGACCCAAAATGGAAGAAGCGGGTAAAAGATGATGGATGGATGGATGGATGGATGGATTTAGAAACATTCAAATATTTGGATTTTTATAAAAAAATATTTTATATTACCTGGTAGCAAATGCTTGGGCCCCTGTGCTCCAGACTCTACTGAGTGTGTTTCCATCACTGTTCAGGCTACGGGGATCTGTGGGATGACATACAAAACCTTCAGGAGACACGCACAGAGCGCAGCCTGCGAGGACTAAACCTGAGGAGCGAGGAGGCGGAGGCGAGCAAAGAAAGCAGCCAAACTGAGACAAAAGAGGAAAGTTGTGTGTGGAGAGGACTTGAGGAAGACGAGGAGAATTGGGATGGCAGCATCAATTCGGTGTCTGAAGACGAGGATGAAGAACAAGGTAGAAAGTGCTTGTAGTGATCTTGTGTCTTGTATGACCGTCACAAACACACCACCACAACTGTCACCCTGCTCTTTCAGCTTTAACGCACTGAATTCAGAGACGTTTTGCACAATGCTCATGTTCTGGGTTGTGCACCCGTGTTGTTTGAACACTGTTTTTCTTTATTTGTCAGTTATATAATAGAGAAACTGCATTTCCTGTGAACACATAGTGTGAATGTTTACTGATGAATGATTTCTGATTAAAGCTGCTGAGAGTTTCATCGCTACATTATTAATGTTAACTGTTGAAAATAGCAGAAATTTGCAGAATAAACTGAAATAGGTAAAGAGAGCTGAATAGAATAGATTACAAGAAATAGATTAGCATGAATAGATTACAAAAACTCTGAAACAAGCAAAAAAGAAGTTGAAGCTGGCAGAAAAAAATCAGAATTGAGCAAAAAAAGACAAGTAGCTGAAAAAAGCTAATAATTAACTGAAATGAGCAGAACAAAGCTTAAAGAAGCATAAAAGTTGTAATTATTAGAAAGAAGCACAAAACGTGGATGTTGTGGAAAAAAGTGCTTCCCCAAACAACCAGGTGTAGATCTAAAAAAACTTAAATCTGGTCCTCTGGACATTCAAAAACCAAAACAAAACAAAAAACTGTAGAAACATTTCGTCTTTCATCCAAAAGACTTCCTCAGTCTTTAGGGGTGGAGCCTCCAGGTTCAACTGTCCCCCTCTTACAATGCTGTG